TGCTGGTGGTTAGATTGTATGTTTATGTGGAAATATTTTTGGTTTATGTGCATAGATATGTGTATATATGTTGGGTGGGCGAGGGATGGTGAGAAAAATAACAAGGGAAAGTGAATGAATGTAATAATAAATATATACCTGAACACCAAACTTAATTACTGATTTCACCCTTTAGTGAAGGGTAAGACTATAAACCATCAAGATGAAACTACCTATGATGTGTATATGGGTCATGATTCGTAGCGGGTCGGCTGGCTGTACACAGCTTAGGCCTAGCCAAAAAGTCTTGAGTGTTGCATAATATTACATCACAAATAAATCAGGCCCTGTCATCATAGGGTTATAAAAGATTCTGCGACCAAAATGATAAATTTACATATACAATATCAAAAGGAAGACTTTTAATGCATTAAAATAAAGAAAAAATAAATAATAACAATACACAAATACATTTTTTCTTCTTCAAAATATTGAAAGACACTTCGTAAAGCAAGCAAGCTAAAAATAAATCTCACTTTGTTCGGGAAGGATGCAATATTGCAATATCCATCCTAGGGTTACAAAGAGAATTTGTTCAGATCATTACAGGCACCTTTTGTTTGACTGACTTCAGTAACTTTTTTACTGATTAACCTGTTAAGGCACTTGTCCACTACTGCATTTAAATCTCCCACTTTATACTATTTTTGCATGATGCTATAAAAGATATTCAGTATTACTTTATCTATGAAAAATCTGTTGTTACTACCATTGTTACTATGTGAAGTAAATACTCCTAGTTCTATCAAATATATGAAAGGCATTTGTACATTCTCACTTGCTTTGATCATAACTATTTCTGTTTAAGAACATAAAATGAAACCTAAAGGCATTGATTACAATATTCTCGACAAATGCAACACCACAAATCCTCAAGAAAGTTTAATGTATCAGAGAAAATTAGTTTCAGGGGCATTATAAACTTATTTGCTAAGTTAAGCTAGAATCTTGTTTGGAGCTGTGATTATATTTACCACCTTCTGAAAAATTAGATTTTAAGTTGAGACTGAAAATATAGCAAAGCTGCAGGATGTTCGTGAAACTATCCTGGCAAGCTACATTAATCTTTACTGCTTATCTAAAATGCTTGTGTTTATTATCAGTAAGTTGTTTCTGAGCAAGTTGTTTCTATATTCGGACGGATACTGTTGCAGAAAATGAAATTTCAGTCAAGATATATCTGAGCATATGAATCATAAATATGAGCTGGTATTTTGGCCTTCTTCAATATTGCACAAATATTAAACATCCTAGATTATATTAGAAAACCCTGAAGGATTACCTTGATGTTTGACCTGTATTAAAAATCACTAATAAAAATTGTGGCACATGGTAATAAATATATAAGTGGACCATATGAGGGAATAAACCCCTCCCTCCCCCAAAAAGCCATAAATTACCATTAATTATCATAGTTCATCCTTAAATGGCACAAATTTGACTTTCTACATACATTATAAATCTTCATAAGAATTTCTTACATTATTCTTATCTGGAAGCTTCTCATTACTGTCACTACAAAGTAGAGTATGATATACCATAACAAATGTGTGTGCATGAAATACAATAAGTATAACATACACATATGTATGATATTACTTCCATCATGCATGTTTTTTCCTTCTTTTACATTATATAAAATACAAAGCACTTTCATAACAAAAATCTAAGATTAACCCACTGGTGACAAATGGCATAGTTTACATTCCATGTCCACTATAATTTTAATTGATTAATTATCTTTACACACTGGTGGCACCACAAGTGCTTAGTTAACAAGGAGACAACTGTTAAATCTGTCTTTTTCACTTGTTTACCCCTATTCATGATTTTTGGAAAGATGATTTTTTTTCATTATTATTGGTATTTAAAACTTATAATAATCATAAATGTCATTAATAATGATACCCATATTAATGGCATCAGAAAAAAAGAAAATTCAAGGAATGGGGAAATCATGTGTGGACACTATGGCACCTTACTAATTGACTCCTTGGTGGTTTAACACTTGTGGAGCCATCTGTGTGAAATAATATTAACAAAACACAACAGTGGACAGTACATGAATATGTGACCCATAGGTTAAGATGTATGACAATGCATATGTATATACTAAAGTGTAGGTAAACAATTATATACAAACATTTGATGCTCATAACATTATGAATAAGAAACTTGTGAAGAGAGTTTATTAATAATGAGACACTAACTATCCATTTCTAGAAGAAGCTGAGCAAAGACTAGCCATGGCTATGTTTTCCAAAGGAATTAATTAAGATATCAGATCTCTTTAAATATTATAAATAGGCAGTAATTCCTGTCAACATCTGACCATGTGCTAAAAAAAGCAATGAAAATCTAAATACCAGAATCTCTGGTAACTAACTACCTTAATAGAGAAAAACATTCCATTTACTTAGGTAAGTTACTCCATCCATAAAGTTTCCTAAAATTCAAAATCACAGTTAAATAATTCGAAAGACCTTACAAAAACTACATTTAGTTTCTGCAAGTACCTTAAGCTTGTGGATTTTTAAAAAATAAAGTGGAACACAAAACAAGAAGTCTTGCATAAAAATGGTTCTCCAAATGTCACTTACTCTTAGTCTTTCTAAATAAATGTATCATTCAACAAGTAGTTCAAAAAACACAAGATTTCTTACCGTTGTACCTCCATGCTACATGCATATTCTCAAGCTGTTGAATGAGATTTATGAGGTTTTGTTTCTGAATGAAGTGTACTATGTATGTACTATCCATAAAAGTAAAAGAGAAATAAAAATAAATAAATAAATAAAAATTAATATTGGGGGGTATCGCATAAACTAGGTAAATATTAGATTGAACTCTGATCAATGATAACCAATTCATTGCGCATATTATATAACTATATATATTTGGCATAATTTAAGAGAGAATTAGGAACAATATGCACTGAAACATAGAAATGAAAGTATATCTAGTCATCACTTTCTGCTTTCCTTTTATCTGCAACACAAAATGAAGCCATTTTTTATATTCATCAACTTTCTTCCATTCTTTTCCCTGTAGAAAAAATCTATAGATGTTTTCAAAAAATATTTTGACTATTAATAAAAATGCTCACATCAAATGTGAAAGTTCCCTGTTTCTGAGTAAAGGTATACAAGTGTTTTTTACCCTTTTGCTATTATTTCACATCCAACAGCATAATACTTGACTACAATCTTAAAGGAGTTTGAAAGCACAGTCTGGCCAGTAGTCACATCAACTATCAGTGCTTAGTGGAAGCAGACCCACTCACAGGACACTGGCAGATTTTGTTTGGTCGACAGTTTTTCACAGACAAATATATTTCCTCTTGCAGAAAAGTAATTTCATAACTTCATTATAAAAAATTCTGTTTGGACTACATCTGTCTGTCTACATCAGTTTGACATCTCTACAGACTGTCATATATATAGGGTTATGTTACATGATAAAAATGCATGTATAAAGTTAGTTCAAAATGGTACTATAGATGCAATTTTTTGTCTTTTGTGCTGAAAAATGTGTGTACCTATTTGTATGCACATAAGTAGGTGCAGAATAACTGCAAAGTAGTATATGTAAAACTCTGAAACAGTGAACTATTTTTTTTTTCTATAAAAGTAAAACCTATAAGCAGTTACCTCTCATCAGATAAATTTCGACTTTGTTATGACAAACACTCCATTTGAGAACTTAATTCAGTATGATTCAGCCTTGGAAAAAAGTATCCTTACCCAATAAATTTCATATGTATTGGTTCATGGGCGGGTCATTTTCAAAGTCCTTCAACTGTTTTTTCAGCTGATATGGTTCGCAGCAAGACTGGGTCAACTCCTTCTAGTGGCTCTATTGCAAAAGAGGAAATAAAAACATTGACAGTGGTAATGAGGAACACACCAAGGACAACCCAGTTGTTGATCCTGTCTGCTTTTTGGGCATGGTCTGCATCCCTCACATTATAGCGCCCAATGAATATCAGTGCGATCCCAATCATAACCTGAAACAAACAAACAAAATTTTTTTTATGGTTGCCAACAACTAAACATAGATTCTTAAACAGTCACTTCATGTGCAACTTTCTTTAATTCCTTTATCAAATTCATATGCCATACCAACAAAAATATGAAAAATAATCTGATAATAATTTAACAGGAACTACAAATTCTTGAGGTGTATTCCTTTGCTTCTTAAATTGTTTGGAAAGGCTCTAAAGGAGGCCATCGCTGTAGATTTTTGATAAATATTTTTAAAAATACTCGAAAAATTGAAAAAAATCTTGTGTAATCTAGTAGGCTTTGGCAACCTACTGATGTAATATTACTGCTAAATACGTATGAATAAAGGAGTTATGCCTAAATATCTGTCCCCCCCCCCTCCCGCTCTGATGTTTACTTTGTCGCATCTGTGCAAATATACTCGACATCATTTTTTTTTTTTTTTTTTTCGGATTTTCCCCCCCCGATTTTTTTTGGTGTTCTCTGATAGCTAGCTGGCAACTCTGTTTACCCATCGGCTGATCGCCAAGTCTGGGACTCTGGGAGACAAGTTGTTTCCGTTCTAGGAGACAAAATGTTAATAGCTCCTACCTCTACGACACATCTCGCAGATGTACGCCCTCATTACACAGTAAGGGGACACAACTAATGGTAGATGTTATTTTTGCATCTAATAAACATTATATGATAAGAAATAAATCTCAATCACAGCTGCAGCAGTTGTTTATACTTATGAAATGCCTCACATGGTCAGGTTAGGCACTGTGAAGTCTGTGATGACACGTTATTGCCATAAGTACTTTGCAAAAAGGGGGAACCAGGTACCAGCTACACTTCAGAATACCATGTGAATGCCATAGGATGCAGCAAGATTGACGCAGAGATATGAATTCAATAATAATAATAATAATAATAATAATAAAAATAATAAAAAAAAAAAAAGAAGAAGAAGAAGAAGAAGAAGAAGATGAAACAAAACAAGAAAAAATCGAGGGAAAAGTATCCTGAACTTCGGAGCCTGATTTCTCAATACTACATGTCTGTCAACATTCTTTTTTTTATTTCTCCATAACTATTTGGAGATTCTAATGTTTTTTTTTTTTTTTTTGTCATTTGAAAGCTGAATAAATTTGCGATGTTTTACATTATGGATATTTTCAGTCACGTAATAGAAGTCCATATATTATATCTAATTGAGACTTTTTGTATTGTTATAGATATATGTGTTTTTTTTTCAAAAACTTTTTCTTAAATAACGCCGTTGTTTATCACTCAAATGACATGAAACTTGGTGGTGTTTATCAACATATATGTATATATATCCTATGAAAAAATCTCAGATTTCCGATCATAAATGATGAACTTCGTTCTCCAGCGCAATGGGCCCCCTTAAACTTGCCAGGTTAATGCTAATAACTTTTTTTGTGGTTCACATAAACAATAAACTATAAAGTGTTTTACTTTACAAATGAAATATATGCCAAATATTCTAAGATCAACCATTAATGAAGAGATATCAATGAGTGATGAATGGTTAAAAAGCAAATAAATGTGCTAGACATCAAAGTTCAGATAGCACTATAGGAAAGTATAATAGCAAAAAGGATAAATAGGGAGGGTTAATGAGGTACTGATTAGATGAGGAGGTTTGATGTCAGCAGTCACTCTTGAGTGTAAAGGGAATGGGAGATTGAGAGTGGATGAGAGATAGGCATGTTTTTTTTTTTTTTTTTTTTTTTTTTTTTTTTTTTTGGGGGGGGGGGGGTTATGATCAGAGATTTTTTTTATTGTACTCAAAAGTTTCTGAAAGGGAGTTGGATGGGGTGGTCTGCGAAACGAAGGTCTTCTTATGAGGGGGGGAGAAGAGGGGATAGAATCTGAGGAGCTGGGGAAGGTATACAGTACAAGATGAAGTGGAACATTTAGATTGTCTGATGCAATGGGTAGAGTGAGAAGGAGGTGGGGTTGGCATTGGGGACATGGTAGAGATTGGAGTGTCTGGATTTAGAATAGCAAAAATATTTGACTGGGAGTGAGATAAGGGGTAGAAGTGGGAACATATGGAGTATGAGGAAGCAGAAACATCTTGAAGAGAGGGGAGAGGTGCAGAGTGAAAGACAGCACTGGAGTAGGGACCAAGAGAAAAACCTTGTCTGGCCAAGTCTGAATCTGAGAACTCTAACTTGTGCATAGAGCAGCCCCTATGAAATACATTATGGGAGCACCACAACTGGCAGATGTGCAGGATTGTGCAGGGCACTTTGAATGATTATGGCCAAGTTGGGTACAAAGAAGGCAGCATGCTGTGGAGTGACAGTGTGCTTGGCAGGGTGACCAAAACAAACATTTCTGACATGGACATGGACGTGGTTGGTATGGTTGGACAATTTATCATTTACAGTACAAATGAGAGACTCACCTGGAGAATAATACTCATGGAGATGAGGACAATATTGACATAGTAGTAAGTGCCCTTTCTCCCAATCTCCCCTGCTTCTAGCACGTAACGCAGCTGATTGGCATTTGCTGTGAGTAGTGCCAAGTCCATCATTCCCTGTGCAACTGTCTTCTTGGTTGCATACATGTTCACATCTACTGGTTTCTTTCCCTGGTCAAAGAAAGGAGTATGGCCTTACAAATAAAGTATGAATGATAATAAATTTGTGGAATGATGTTTCTTTTGCAAAGATATATTAACAGACAGAATATTTCAGGATTTTGATAAAAAATACTAAATCTGAAATTTACATCTCTTATATGAAATCTTTCTTAATGCATTCTATGAAATAATACTGAGGCTTTTAAAAACTAAAATATATGCATATTATCTACAGATTAGCATACATTTTTAAAATTTCATAAGCTACTGATATTAGCAGCTACATTATAAACATACAATCTAAGTAATTAACTTCTTCAGCATCAAACAATATAATTTTGTTTAATTTTCTTAGCCCCTTTGATCCGGATGATGTGACCATCACATCAAGAAAAACAAATTTGGCTTAAAAGGTGGGTGATGAACATGCCATCATGGGAAAATCTGGCTGCGGGCCCAGGTGACGCAAATGACTCCCCATGAGTACATAAACCTCTTGGAGGGTGATTAGATTTATTTGGTGCTTAGAAAGGGACTTCTGCATTATTCCTATTGAAATACAAGCATGGAATGTAGTGTCCTTGAGCCATGACTGGGAGAGCGCCAACTCCAGGGAGAACGCTATATCCATGCTAATACTATTCCTGGCTGCTGTGACCAGTAACACAAGTTGTATTACAGAAGATTGAATATTATGGGGGGGGGGGTACATATTAAAAATTTTCTTGCACCGAGTTATGAACAACTTCAAGGGATGATATGGATCTGCATAAGGAAAAGTCTTTTACCATCTGGATGTAGCAATCCAATCACAAATATGGACATCAGAAAATAGCAAAGAAGCTAAAAACATTCATGCATAAAAAGAGAAAATAACATTGCAATGGAGAGTTATACAGTCTTGTCACCGTACATGAGTGTTCGTGTGCACCCTGCCTACAAGCAGCACACCTGCCTCAGTGGCTGCTCATGTAAGCCTAATGCCCTTATTTTGGGCCATGTGATTGCTGTGAAGCAACTGGATCCAAGGGGACACTAGCAATCATATTGCTCTATCAACACCATAATTCACTTTGTTTACAAGCCCTAATCTTTTCATAAGGAAAGATATTTATAGATCACAAGTTAAGCATAACAGTCAAGGAAGGAAATATTTACATGTAAATCATAAAGCTAACCAACGTCATGGATCTACGTGATGTGATCTTCACATTATGAAAAAAATTGGTAGAAGGTTGGGTGACGTGAATATGCCATCATGAAAAATTTGGGGGATAGGAATATGCCATCTTGAGAATTCTGATTGAAAGCTTGGGTGGCAGCAATAACTCGCTACAAGTGCACAAAGCTCTTGAAAGGTGATTAGACTCAGTGAGTATTTAGAAAGGGGGTCTTGCATTATTTCCATTGGTAAATGAGTGTGGTATGTACTATCCCTGAGCCATAAGTGGATGAGCACTGGCTCCAGGGAGGACACTATTTTCATGCTCAGGATCCTATTCTTACCCACTGTGACCAGCAGCAGAGAGTGTATCACAGAAAATTGAATATTACAAAAATATTAAATAATGACACAAGTAAAAAAATGTCCTTACTGTTATTGCTATTGTACATAGTTATAGACAACCTATATATGATATGGTGTGTATGCAATGAAAACAGTCTATTACCGTCATGATGGATCATTTCAAATTACAAATACAGACCTTGGAAAATTTCTAAAATGTAAAAAACGCTTATGCAGAAAGAGACAATAATACTGCAAGAGGGAGGAAACGAGTTTTGACATCACACACAAGTAATCATGTGGGTCGGGCCTAAAAGCCACACACCTAATGCCCGCATTTTGGGCCACGGGTGGGCAGCGAGGCTCCCAGATCCAGTGGGTTACTTAAACAATTACTGAAAGGATATGAGAAAAATAAGCAAATGCAAGGAAATGGGAAAAAAAAATTCAAGTATGAAACGAGAGAAAAGTAACTGATCATTATCTAGATCATTCCAAAAGTGCTTTTAATCCACAGGGTGGAATGGCAAGAATGCATCCTATGTCCACCCTGTCTTTTTGTTTACTGATTGTCTTTACACATAGAATGATCCACAAGTGCAAAGGAGTCAATCACTGCTCCTACCTAGTGCACCTGTTCATTCTCTTCGTAGATTTCAAAAAGATTCTTTTTCATTTCTTTATTAATACTAATATTGTTAGTAACATTATAATAATCAGTGTCAATAACATCAATATGAAAAGCAAGCACGCACACACACACACACACACACACACACACAAAATCACAAACTCAAGGAATGGGGATATTGGCTGAGCATTTGCAAAGCCATCTACGTGCAAACAAAATTCACAAAAAAATATAAGTAGACAGTGTGATTACCTGGCACTGCTAGGTTAAATATGTTATACTAGAAACTTCTGAAATACATTTAATACTGTCTTGTGTATATACTTCAACAATATTCATCTTTAAAGATCTTTGATATAATACAGACTGATATAATGTCACAACACAAAGGACAGTGCATAATTTCTTCCTGCCTACAGAAACATACTAGACCCCTTTTCAAGTTTTGGACGTGTCCAATCAAAAGTTAAAATATCATTAGATAATGAGAAGACGTTGTTGCTAATTAACATCTTAAACTCTTTACACAACATTTATATGTCTATTCACAATTGTAAGAATACCTTTAGATAATGCCACTGCATCAATGTTACTTACTGTTTCTGATATCTTATACAGCTTTCAATTACATATAGAATTTATAATAATTTATTTCTGATGTCCTGATTTTTTTTTTTTTTTTTTTTTTTTATGGTACTTGCACACAGATAAAATTATTTTAGTTTTAATGTGCATTGCATGAAAATGATGGCTGTAAGTTCCTAGGTCTTTAAACATCTTTTCAACAATCATATTAATTATTCACATTATTGCCATATTCCCTATATATTCTAGATAATGGCTGCATTACTGTACAAAAAAGGCTAGAAAGATTATGATGAAATAAATTTTCCTTTAACGGGGAAAAACAAATTTCCAAACCTGCTAAAAAATACCATTGGATGTTATCAAAAATGAAATGAAATAAGTAAACAAACAAGAGATACATAAATAAATGAAAAAATAAAAAAATAGAGGGAAAGTATTTCACCATTATTGGTTAAAGCTGTAATTAGGGTTACACAACATTCAATGAGACTGAAAGACATTTCCTTTATGAATGGGGTTCCCTAAAATCCATTACAACACACAAAGAACACAACAAGGATAAGGTCATTGGGCAGCAGGAAAATCTAGTATGAATATTCCTATGGAGGAGGATATTAACCATGCAGAACATTTTACTGCATGGTTAATAACTACAATTATGAAATAATTTTAGAAGGCAAAAAGTTCTGTAATGAATGTAAATTTCCATAGTATAAACCCTGCATCTGTAAAAATATCATAAGTGACCTAATAATATGCATGCAAATGAAAATGCACAGCCAAATAGAAACATGCACACACTGCATTCATTCACTCATACATTCAAAAGAATGAAGAAACGATAATACTGAAGAATATACTTTTTATTTTTACTTTTTTGCACATGCAAAAAGAATCATATCCCTGGAATGTTATTTTGCTGGTCTATAGTGTGTACTAACTGTCAGCCATATTCAAGCTGAAATTGTCTATCAATCACAAACAAGAAATATTATAGAGACTTATGTCTTGCATAATTGGGGCTTAAATTGTTTTTTGTTTCTTATATATATATATCTTTATTTGATAAAAAAAACAAAGAAAAAAAAACAATCATCCTGCTTAATTAAACCTTAAATATGTTAATACTGTACCATGGGGCACATATAGAAACCACTTCAGAAAAAATCAACATCAACATCTCTTCCTTCTTATCAGAATTTCAGTGATAAAGCAGAGCTATGAGTTGGCACAGAAATTTAAAAGCTGCCAATGACTATCTCAACACCTACAGGCTTGACAGGGTCTGTTGGTACCGGTGCATATCCACCTCTGCCCCTGCCAGGAGTGGGGCCAGAGCCATTTCTGGGACCTGGATTGCTGTCGCCATCAAAGCCACCTCCAAGGCCATCATCAATTCCATGATTTGGGTTGTTACTGCCATTTCTGTGGATGTCAAAGAACGTTAATGAAACTTATGTTCAGTCAGGCACTTTGAAGTTAATCAAGTGGCACAAATATAATAGTAAATAGCGAACTTTTATCTTTTGCAAAATATCTTTTATGAATGGATGTGAATTTGCCTACAATATGAAACAATGCTGCTTAAAGTTTGCATAATGCATTATACCTCATCTTACTGAGCAAAATGTAAAAATTTATTACACTCTGTTCATTCATGGCTTACAATGAAATCAACGTGCAATACAAAGAGAGCTCTGTTGCAGATCTGTTATCTAAATTCTAACAATATACTGGTTAAAATGGTTTTGCCCATTTGCTATTTTTGTTTTTGATGAGTAACTTTGATGATGTCAGTCGTTATTCTCTGAGAATATATTTTCTTGCAGAGAGAAATTATGAAAAACTTAGCTGATAATGTATTACGATTAACGAAAATACAAATGAAGGTGTTACATTCGAGTTTAACAACAGTCACAGTCCAATGATTACAGCAACAAACTAACTGATACGTTGCAATCGATTACCATTATACATAGTAATGATGACAATCCTTGTCACAAACTGACAATATTGCTGTATTTTATATCCTTACAAAAAAGATAACACAGGTGAATATGAAGATGTTGCTACATAATAATCATTCTAAAAAGGATAATAAATATAATTTTGACAAAAAAAAAAAAAAAAAAGAAAAAGAAAAAGAAAAAAAAAAGATCTAACAATAGTAATGGTAATAGTTATAATAACAGTAATAATAATAATAAAAGTAAAAAGAATAATAGGAAAAGTAATAATTACATTAATAACAATGATCATTATAACAATAGCAATAACAATCATAACAATACTAGAGGTAGACTTTTCTATAACTCACCCCATATCTTCAACATCTGTCTCTCGGATTCTGGCGATTGGTGCCATTTCTGTCGTTGCCATTCTGTCTCTTCTTCTTAAGTATCTTTCCTCACGACTGCTGAAATATTACAAACCATTTATATTACTCAAGTTATACATGGTTATGTTCATTAAATGCTGCCATGTTTATTTCGGCAGATAGAGATTGGCAGGTTCTGTGTTTGAGGATAAATTTGAGAGGTTTCCAAGCTCTAACCTAAGGCATTTCCTTTGCAACTTGATATTAGGAAAGTTGTGCAACTCATAACTAATACTTTTGTATACAATTATATTAAGATAAGGAAAAATCTAATGACACTGTTATGAAGAGAGGGAAAAGATTATTCACTGACAAATTAAATAATCTATAAAGGAAAGAATAACATCGGAAACGAAGACAAATAGGAATAAAAATGCCACAATGAGAGCAATTCCAAAATGATTGGGTAGGTGTCCCTCGGTATGGAAATGTGGCGACTGGGTGGTCTTGGGGTAAAGGCCCTGGCTTAGGAACAATTTTGGTTCATACAGTGATGTTTGTGAATTTCCAATAATTCCCCCTAGGTTTTTGGCTGGAGTAAAGGGGACTTACAGTTCTATGCTTAAAGAAATTGTGGAATCCACTCTTCGAAGTACAACATCCTCTACTAAGGAATAGCACTACAAAAAATCAAGTATTGTACCAAATGATAAGGAAACTGTATTTTTGAAACTGACAGTCCTTAGTTTAAACTTCCTGCAATCTTGAAGAAAATAGCATAAGAAAATTGTGTCAAGAACTGATTTACATTACAC